GCAAGCTGTGCTCCTCCATTCTGCAGCTGCCACCCACCACAACACATCTGCCACTGGGAAAAAAACACTCAGATAGAAAACCGCATCCAAACGAATTGCTACATGACACAAAAGATCACTTCTTTAAATTGAAATTCATTTGGAGTCAAAACGGGGTTCATCCCCCCAGGGCGCACGTGTGTGACTGCAGAAACCCACACATAGGTGGCAAAAGTGGAGGCTACATACAAACACACACTTTCTCACAAAGAAAATACACTTTTTTTTTTAAGGCAAGAGCATTCTTTGTGTGAGGCTAGTGGGTCTTCCAGCTCACTGCCCAGGTGCTGTCTCTGGGCAGACACATGCCACTGGCTGGTCTTAATGCACATCAAATATCACTTTTCTACCAACAACGCCTGCCCAACTCTAGCTGCTGCAATTCCCCTTTTATTGCATTCCCCAGGATTTCATATTGTACATGCTGAACTCCACAGAAAGGAGTCAAAGCTCATTTCTAGACCTGAAATGGAATCATTCACTGCAGACCAAATATTGCAACAAAAATTGCCACTAGCTTTGTTGATATGAGTCACATGGTAACAAATCATTAAATTACTTACACAGATGGAGAACGAGGGATGATTTGACATCGGAGGAAAGGGAAATAAAACGATGTGAAATGATTGATCTTTTGGGGGTATTTTTTCACATGAGAGCAGCATTAAACGTTGATTCATTTTTACTTTAAACATTCGCACAAAGACCCTATTGTTGGAGCTTTGTGAGGCAGACGCAGCGGCACTTGGAGCTCAGTGTAAACATGTTTAGCACTTTCACCAACATTTTATCTTCACTCATAAGCACTCAACACAAAGTACAGCCAAGACTCACGAGGATGCTTTTAGTTTTGCAGGTATTTGGTCTTTAAAGTAGGTCAGAGCTCTACCCAGTAGTGTGGAGAAATGAAAAGTAAAGTATATACAAAAGTCTGGAGTGAAGCATAAATGTGGTGCCAAATATTATGGAAATCCATGGAACATGCACTCACCAGACACTTGATCAGTTAACCCAACTAGTACCATGTTGATTCCCCTTTTGTTTTCAGAACTGCTTTAATACAGATTCTACAAGGTGCTGGAAATTTTCCTCAGATATTTTGGGCAGTATTGATGTGTTAGCATCACACAGTTGCAACAGATTTGTCGACTGCACATCAATGATGCAAATCTCCTGTTCCACCGCATCCCAAAGGTGCTTTGCTGGCTTGAGATCTGGTGACTGTCGATGGCATTTGAGTACAGCGAACTGATTGTCAAACCAGTTTAAGATTATTTGAGCTCTGGGACATGGTGCATTATCTTGCTGGAAGCAATCATGAGAAAATGGGCACACTGTGGCCATAAAGGGATGGACATGGCCAGCAACAATGCCCAAGTAGACTGTGGCGTTTAAACAATGTTCGGGATATACTAAAGGGACCAAAGTCTGTCTAGAAAATATCTCCCATTAGACCAACAGCAGCCTAAACAATTGATACAAGGCAGAATGGATCGATGCTTTAAGGTTGTTTACTCATCAGACGAGGCAACATTTTTCCAGTCTTCTATTGTCCAATTCTGGTGAATTGTAGCCTAAGTTTCCTGTTCTTAGCTGACAGGATTGGCCCCCAGTGTGGTCTTCGACATTCAGAGATGCATACCTTGATTATAATGAGTGGTTGCCTTTCTATGAAGTCTCGCCATTCCTCTCTGACCAACAAAGCATTTTACACCCACAGAAGTGCCACTCGCTATTTTCTCTTTTTCAGACTGTTCTCCGTAAAACCTAGAGATGGTTATGTGGGAAAATCCCAGTAGATCAGCAGTTTCGAAAATACTCAGCTCATCTGGCACCAACAACCATGTCACATTCAGAGTTACTAAAATCTCATTTCTTCCCTATTCTAATGGTTGATTTGAACTTTAGCAGGTCATCATGAGTATGTGCACATTCCTAAATGTATTAAACTGCTGCCATATGATGGGCTGGTTAGATAGTTGCATTAGCAAGCAGTGACCGGTGAGTGTATATCATAACCACAAATGTTAAACCTGTGGTGGCACTCGAGGAAAAGAAATCATCTGGGAGCCATGATGAGAAGTCCATATTTACAGACGAACCATGTAACAGTTGATGAGATATTTAAATCTGGACCGACTAGGCTGTCTGACAACACTACCACCCCTGGAGCCGCTCTCTAATTAGCTAATAAAACTATGAATGCATTACTACTGCATTACCCTAGTGAAAACTTCTTTAGAAAAATCTCATTTTAACATGATGCAATGCTATTTTTGGCTTGTACCATTGCACACAGTTGCCTAATGCACCCATGCTCAGTGTAAACAATCTATTTAATTATCTCTCTGACAGAGGGCATATTCCGAACATCTTGTTGCCCCACGCCCACCATATCTAATAACTTTACACATACATGTGCTGCTAGTTAAAAAAAAAAAAAGATTTTTAATGATTCCTAATCTGGGATCCTGAATTATTAAAAATCACTTGGAAATGAGGTGAAGAATATTCCCTACCTTAAAAAAACCTTCCTTGGCAGGCTCTGTTAGGTCATAATATCTGCACGACAAACCAAAGTCACATTCAGAAAGCAATTTTCTGTTCACAATGCAATCTTGGCCATTAATTGGCTAATGAACAAGATGTTATTCAAGGATACCTTTCCAATGAGCACTTAGGAAAAGGAGGAAGAGGACTTAATATGATGGAATAAGTGTGACAGACTAAATGGTTCGTGCTGAACGCATTGATGCATGCTCTGACCTTCCCTGTCAATCTGGAGGGCAGACAGGGTGGCCATTTATGTTGTTATGGTAGAGCTCAGGCTGCAGAAACAGTTTTCATCATTACCCCCCCCCCCCCCCCCCAAAAAAAAAAAACAAAACCCAAAAAAAACCCTTGTCTGAAATCCAGAGCGGCCTCACTGTCCACTGCTGCCTGTGGGAAGGAAATAACAATAAACAATAAAAAACCAGAGTGTGTGCAGTGGAACATTCCTGGGCTATTTTGTTAGACTGTGCAGCCTCCTCATAAGCTGGAGATATTTTAGAAACTAGTAGTGAGAGAAAATTGTAAACAGACAGGCGGATGCAGTAATAGCTGGTGAGCAAGCTGGAAAAATAATTGGTTAAGCCTCCCTACAGTCCTTGCTTTGATTTGATTTGATTACATAAATCAACCCTTTTCATATTTTATATTCAGATGTTTTATAACAATACAAGACATGGCTAGAGACACACTGGGCTAGATGGCATCTGGTTCACTTGGCATATCCTGTTGCTTCCTCATTTGGGTGGAAAATAACTGCAAAGTCTGGAGTAAAGCTAAGAGGCAAATCTACAATTATGACCATTTTTAATGACATTATTTGTAAAACCTTGCATGGATGTCAGATTCCACGAGCACACATCAGTTTCCCACAGCAATGTTCCCAAACTATTCAACCACTTGAGCTCACACTGCTAGATTTAGCCGTGTGTAGAAAAAAAAAAAAGGAAAAAAAATGACAAGCCACACTGGTAGATAGCTGACAAGTTAAAGGAGCATGTCTTCCCTGTCATTTCTCATAAAAGCGTAGATGCGGTTGTTTTAAAGAAGTCATTAAATATAGGGGAGCCACTCGTGTACAACACAGGTGTGTGGGCGTATTTGATTTTTTTTTTCATTTTTTTGTCTTTGAAATCATCCCTGGAATATCAGATCAGATGATTAACCGAATAGTGTAGGAAGACAGGGGCACTGGTGGAGTAACCTATCAGATATGCTTGTCATTTCACAACACGGAACAGAGTTAACAGACACAGAAGTGTTGTGGGGCCAAATGTGATGTGTCGCTTGGCGAAGAGAACACGCATCTGGAGACAATTAGTGGATAAATGATTCGCTCGGCCCACGAGTTATCCTCGAAAATTGCGCCCCAAGGTTGATCAAGTCCCTTTTAGGCACCGTGAGTGAAGCAACACCTGGCATTTGAGCAGAGGTGAGAGATTTACTATGTAGCACACGAGTGTCTCAAAGCTCTAATTACGCCAACATCAGAATTACTGCAAATGCACAGTTTTATACATTCAAAAGCTGCCCATCAGTGAGGTTCCCCTTTGACTGAGGTCATCTTTGTCTGTTAGCGAGTCCTAAAAGTAATATTTTCTGAAAGCACTGAAAAATATCCAACAGTGCCGTGAGATTACTTCGACCAGTTTCAAAATGCAAATGGACTCATTTCAATATTTTTTTCACCTTCTGGTGCAGGAATATGCATTAATAAATCAAACTTACTGATACCAACATGAAATATTAACAAACCCTTGGAACGAATTGGAAACATGGCCATACTGAGACTGAGAATGTCATTCACGCAGTGTCAGATTATTTATAGAGCAATCAATCAATCAATCAATCAATCAATCAATCAATCAATCAGGCCAACTCAATCAGGTTTGTAGCAGATTTACCAGTATGGATCCATACTGATAAGCTGCAAGGATTCGCAGGGAGGGGGAAAAAAAAAGCTATAGTCAGTGTGAGGTAATTTAGGAACAGTCATTCCACATTATACTGCATGTCTACCAGACAGCAAAGAAAAGTGGAATTTTCAACTGTAAAATGCCTCGGTTAGTGTACACATCCAAGAGATCAATATCAAGCTTGTTTGTTTATGTTAAAGAAATTACTGCAGGGTATTTTTTCCTTTGGCTCTTCAAGATCAATATCTGTGTTACTTTTGGCTGTAAATATTTCCCCTAGTTTTGAAATAATACTTTTAGGACTTGATTCTGGTAAAAGGAAAAACAAAACAAACAAAAATTAAACAACTCATAATAAAAATAAAAATTTTGCTGTATATTGGTGCTACACAACCACAGTTATGAACACCTTCTAGACGTAGAGCATTTGCATGTTTTACTACGTCTTTCATGGTGACTCATTATGGTGACTACCCAACTCTCACTGACAGCAGAACGGTTGCATTTTCTGGTTTTATTGTTTCTTACCTGCCAAAATCCACTACATCGTCTCCAGATAGTATATACAGCTGGCCCCGTGAGACTGGCAAGACAAAAGACTGAATCTCTGAAAGATGAGAATGATGAACCCTACACAGCAGAGTTTGAAGCCCCATAGCCACCAGTTGTCAGAGTTTGAGGGCTGAGTTGGTATCTGCTACATATTTTGTCCACAGAAGGGGCTACCATGATACAAAGTACTACAAAACTTTTTGTTCTTGTACAAAAACAAACATTTTTGTAGAAATCCTGCATTTTAAACAACAACTGATACAGAGTGAAAACTGCAGACTGTGCGCAAGGACCGACATGGATAAGGACTCTGACAGTATACATTTCTTGTAGAGGCTTTGAACATAATAATAGGCATGGCAGAAAGTTCTTTACAATGGCAGAACTTTGGCACGAGAAAGGCATTATAGAAGAAAACGATGGATATTTGACAAAGTCGGCATAGATGGTTCTCAAAACTAAATATCACTTTTATACATCAGTTCATAACAAACCATTTGGCACTGACTACTGTTCCCTTTGTTGGTGTAAGATTAGTGTTTGTTCAAATTATCTGAGAGAAACTCAAGCCACCGAGGAGAGGGGACCGATCGGGTCACACACACATGGAGGTAAGACGAAAGGGTATTGACATCAACAGAAAAACTACATCTGGTGTAAGTGTCACAATAGTTTTCCCTTCTGCACAGTTGTCAAGTGTGTCAGATGAGAGTGTGTGTGTGTCAGTGTGTGTCAGTGTGTGTGCATACATTTTTTTTCATTAGTTTTTTTTGTGTGTATGCGTATGTTTAAGTCCACTTCTACTGTGGACTAGTCAAATGTTGTGTCATAAAATTGCTCGGCTCTTCTGTCATTTTACATATATCACCAACCAAACCCGTAAGTAAGTCCTTCGATTACATCTCCCTTCAAAAAGTGAATGTCACAGTGAGGTGACACTGCTCAGGTATCTATATTTCCACAGGAAACATCTGTCTACATAAGCAAGTGGGTTCGAAAGGAATCCTGTTTGTTTCTTTGTATTTTTTTTAAATTTTTGTCCCCCCCCCTGCTAAACTCAGTCTGTAACTAAGCCAGCATTAATTCAACCCTGTCTCCCCACTCGTGGTTTTTACTGAGGGGTGTAGTCCAGGTGTATTCAGTGTTCATGCCATGGTTTCCTTTCCTGGGAGTCTCCTGTCGTTAAACGTGTGCATGTTAATAACCTCCTCTGTCTTAACGATGACAGGTGGCTGAGGCTTTTGTTTGAGACGGCGTTGGCACTTTAGAGACACGCGCAGCTCGTCCATCATGGCACTGCAGAATGATCGCTGCGAGAAGGAAATAGAAAAGAAGAAGGAAAAAAAAAAGTTCAACACATTCTTGAGATATACAGTCATAGTGGATCATTTGTTCTTACTGTCTAAAAGAAAGGGGAAAGTATTTGCATTAGGAGGCGGGCAGAGTGGTTTTGGCACAATGAAACCGCTGGCTTTTAGCCAGGAGACTTGAGCGTAAGCCTGGTGTGGCAAAACGCTGATGACACCAGTGCACATTTTACATGCATTTATTTACATGGGCGACAGAGGTTAGTTAACTTTAAAGTGCAGCTGCAGGTCATTTTAACAGCTTGCACAAATGACCTACAGGGTTGTTTAATGAGGGAGGGCTGGTGATGGTTTTTGTGCCGCGTATTCTCTTTTAACCAGTGTCTTCTTAATGGTGGCATGAGGTCCTTTCTGAGTATCTCCAAGGTATTGTTGTTGTTTTTTATTTTCCACTCATGTTTTTGTAATGGACCTGTCCATTACATTTCAGTATTCTTGGGTAATTGCCACAGTGTCCTTTTGTCACCACCAGGTGGCACCATCACTGGGATATTCTAAATTTAGTGACTTTAATTCTACCAGAATCAGTCGATGTCTACATAAATTCAATTTCACTGCTTTACCATGCGCATCCTCTCACCTTAATATGTTGTGTAACATGAAAATACTTTTTTATATGCTGTACAATATGTTTCCTTTTCTGCCTTTTTCTTACTTGTGGTTCCAAAAGTACAGCAGGAGGTCTGACCTTCAGATGTAAAACCAGCTTCCAGTTTGAGTTCAAAGTCACACAGCCTTTTTACACGATTAAAAAAAACAGGTCCTCCTTGATAAAGCTTATAGGTGGGGTTGGGTCAGGTGACCCTCGCTTAGTTATACTGCTGCAGACCCCAGGCTGCTCTTCCATCATCTACTGAACTCCTCCTTTCACTTTAACTCCCCATGCATATAGATGACAACTGCGTGTGATCAACTGTGTGTCTTTTTGCCCTGGTAGTTTACCCGCTCTCCTCTCTGTCTCTGTATCCTTCGCCATCTGTCTCTGGCATTCAGATTTTGGATCTGGGGTTACTAAACCCACCAAGCAGCAATTGTTATTATTGGTTGTTTCTCAGTGTTCATTTTTTCTCTTTTTTTTCCTTTCCACTGTCACCACATACACTCAAAGGGGAATTGCTGAGCTTCTCTATTCTATTTTAAGCTTGAAAAAATTAGCCAAACTGAACAGTTTCTCCTCCTTCTTTTGTATTTATTGGCTTTATGTTGGTTTTACGACAAGCATATGTATGTACAGTACTGCGCAAAAGTCTCAAGCTGCCCCTCATTTCTTCAAAGTTTGCTACGAAAATGGGAAATAGGTGCGGTGATGTATTGAAAAATGTGAAAGTCAATATTTGGTATGATCACCGTTATTCTTCACACAGCCTGAACTCTCTTAGGCAAGCTGTTTTGTAATTTCTTTATGCAGTCTTCATGTATAGCCTCTTGAAGGACATTCTTTTTCACCGTGTAGACTGTTATTGTTCTCTCTCTACCTACTGATGTCTGAACCAAAAATTTCAAATTTGTATTCATCACTCTGTAAGACCCGTTGCCACTGATTTTCAGTCGCATTGTGTGTAATTTGGCAAACCTCAACCTTTTCTCCTTGTTTTTCTTCTTTAAGAATGGCTTCTTGACAGCTGCCCATTTACTGTGACCATTTCTGATGAGGATTTAGTGCCACATACATCTCTTAGGTACTGGTGTAGATTTTGTCCTGTTTCCTTTGGACCTTCCTTTGATATGCCAAGTTTTCAGCTAACAGTTCTTTGGGAATAACCTCATTGGTGCAAAAATACTATTTTATGCCTGTCAGACTGTGTTACGTTTTGTATTTTTCATAAATTCAACTATAGAAATGCCAAAGTGCCTAAAGATGCAATTTAAATTTGGTTCTTTGCTAAGTTATCTGTTATATGTAGACACAACACTGGTTAGGTGCCTCTTTTCTGCTTGTAGGATTCATAAGTCAGTGTTAAGTGAAAAAGCAACCACTGTTGAAAGAAAAACTTGAAAGACCTTCAGAAAGCCCAGAGTGCTATTGTTCAAGATTACTTGGAAGCCACATGAAAGTCTGGCTTCTTAGAAGCAAACTATATAAAATAAGGGGGGACTCATGACTTTTGCACAGTACTGTAACATAATTTGTAAGGTTATAAATAAATAATAAAAAAGGATCTCGTGGTACTATTCTGGGAAAACAAAGGTCAACGTGTTCAGTTTTATTTTATGTGTACATGCGATAAAATAAACCATTGAGTCAGTTGATATCGTGTAACTGCGCAACAGCTACAGAACATGAAGCATCTATTCATTTGCTTTTTTCGACAGAATATTTTGAGAAAACAAGCCTTCATTTAAAGGGTTTGATATGTCCTAGATTCCCCCTTTAAATCGTCACTGTCACACAAACGTCTAAATAGCGTTTCACAGCCATTTGCACCCTGCCAAGAACGGGATTCTGGGAGAAACATTAAACACTTGTAATTTGGCATGAAAGTGAAAAACCTAAAGAGACAGCATAAAGGACAAAGCATCCACTTCGGCAGATTAAATCCAAATATACTGCTACCCACTTTAAAACATCACAGTCTTATGCAACTTGTGTAATGTGAGCTTCTGTTGTCCCTGCATTATGTATGTGGTGTAAAATCCTATAAAATGTCAATATGCCCGGGCACCAACTTTGCCAAGTCAAATTCTCATACATTCCTTTTCTGATTATGCAAAATGTAATTCAAATTCAAAGAGTGTAGGAGGGGAGAAGATAAAAAGAGGAGGGGGAGCATTAAAGTATGAAGCTATTATTTTTCTGTTTGTGTATGTGTGTAGGTGTGCGAGATGGATATCTGTAGGTGGCTTAGGGTGTGTTTTTTTTTAGCAACATTTTTTTACATATATTTGTCTGCCATATGAATGAAATATTTTCTAGAGTCTGAAGGAAGACTGATTACAAAAGCAGACAGGCAAGAAGGATAACAGAAAATAAATTTTGAAAAACAATGAGAAGGAGGGTTTTAAAAAAAAGAGAGAGAGAAAAAGCTCGTGATGTTAGGGTGGAGGACTCTGGCAGGGAGTAAAAAAAGGAGAGGCTTGCTGTCAGCATGCAAATTACTAGCACCTTGTCAGCCTAGAGACTCTGGCATTTGCAAATTATCTGAATATTGTGACCCAGTCTTGCAGCTCTTGATTAATGATAGCTAAGATGTGCTGTGAAACTTTTGCAGCCCTTAAAAAAAGCAAGAAACTAATTACTGTTGCAATAAAGTAACACGCTGCTGCGCTGTGCTAATTCTATAGACGTAAATAATTAACAGACGCTATCAAAAGGACTCTCACAATTATTGGGAAACATCACTGCACGAGTTAAAGTGCAGTAAAATACATACTCCACACTGTGTGATGAATCATGTGCGCTCAGTACGAAAATAGAGCACAAACAGAACACCTGAAAAATATTCAGAAACGTAACCAGGGGGATAAAGAAGCTGTGGATACAGTGCACTCTATGTATACATGGTGAATTAAAATAGATTTGTATTTGTATAATACTATTATGCTGGTGTTTGTGATGAAGGAGTTGCTGTAATTGTTAATTTATTGAAATGATGATTCAATATAATATATGACTAAAAAACAACAAACAAGTAAAACATTTTTCCCCATTTAAAATCAGCAAGAAAATTATCCATGCGTAGACAGAAGTTAGTTTCGGAAAATGCCTGCTTGGTTTAGCAAATATTGACTGCTAAAAACTCACACAGGTTAAAGCACTGGGGGATTTCTGTCTCCACACCACAGGTCTATAGCCATTATGAAGAGTGAAAGCAATTTAAGTAGCCAATTGTTAAAATAAAAACAAGCTTGGTCTGTAAAAATGCACTTTAGGGCTATAAGACAAATTTTCATTTCACTTTCATTTGATGTCTCTTGGGTTTGGTGTCTTGTTTTTACAGTTTGATTTCTAAAATGGCAGAGCAAGAGAGGTAGACCGCTTTTGAGTTTTGGTTTTGTATTTTTCTTAAATTTTTCTTTATATTTAGATTCTCAGGTTTTAGTTTCCTATCTACTTCTGTTCGTGGTTATTATTTGGGTCGTATTTAATTCTGTGAGTTCCTGTGTATTCCTGCCTCCCTTGTGTTTCTGCATGTGTTACCTCCTGTTTTTAATTCGTTAATCTTTTGTCTCATGTGCTCTATTTTTCAGTTTTACTTCCTTTTAAGTGTTAGTTGTCCTCAGCTCTGTTTCCACCCGTTCCCCATTTCTATTCTTCTGGCGTATGTTGATATTGTCTGAGCCTCCCTCTGTTCGTTTTTGCGTCACCCCTCATGCTTGTGCGTTTCCTTGGCTCTGTGTTCCATGAGATTTGGATCTTCTTCTCTTTCTTTGTAAATTACCAGCATTAAGACTGTGTTTTGAGATCACTTATGACTCCCCGAGTCCTTCATTTAGATCCCCATCCTGCCTGCCACACAGCCATACCTTGACACAAACACGCTACAGCAGAAGCCTAAAATCTCTTCTCTAATAGCGCCTGTACCTTTTCCAGCTGGGCGTTCTGCTTAGACTTGTAAAGGACCTCCCCCACAGCCACAAACACTGACAGCACAAGTCCCGCAGCCAGCACGATGAAGATCCCACCGATGTTCTGTACTCCCAGAGCGCTGGCCTCTTTGCTCTCCTCCTCGGGACACCCGTTGCCTCTCCACCACTTCTCCTTCATCATGTGCAGCTTGCCTTCCTCTTGCAGCTGCAGAATAGCTATCGTGATCTTGTCTCTGTATGGAGATCCTGCGAATACAAAAAGCGTATCGTGAAACTGGAAAACACAGATAATACTCATGTGCCTAGGATCGTCATTGTTGTGTTAGTGGGTGTAAGAAACACATTCAGGCTTGCATGTGATCATATAACCTGTCATGTTATTGTTAGCCGCTTAGAGAGAGTTTTTTTGTAAGTCCTTCTTCAAATCCCACTAATCCGCCATATTCACAGAGCTATTCCAAAATTCTCACTCCTCTCTGCAGTGTGTTTATTATAATGCACAGGGAGTTGGCAACAATAACTTGGCTTGGGGGAGCAGAGCTGCTGTCGATTCTCACAATTTAGCTGCTGTTTGCACACGCTTTCATATGACAGAAATAGTCCCTATGAACAGAGGAGCCCAGTGAGGGGTACATTATATGGATGCATATGTGTTTGGGATTATACGTGTATATTGATGATTGGGTTTCTGCATTGCTGTTTTTTGATGCATGTTGAGCAAACTCAAATCCACAGAAAGTAGGAAGGCGCCAGAATTAGCGACGAGGCATTAAGGCGCAGCGGGCGCTGGCCTGATCAAAGCGGGAATAATCGTTGCTGGGTAGCCGAGTGGGGTCATGTTCCTCTCCCATCCACAGCGTGTGCGCCACAACACACGGCTGGGTTGATCCAGGAGCAGCGCACACACAATTTGCTTCAACCGGGCCAAGAAAGATTAATTCTTACTGTGAGCCTTCATGTTTCATGTTTTCACTGCTTTAAGAGCTTGTTAGTGTATTTATGCGATTATGGGACTCATGCATAATGAAGCCTGGGTGCACATATTCATTTCAGGCATTTGCCTCGTGTGCAAATTAAGAGTGACTTAAAAGAAACAAAAGAAATGTTAAAAAAATAAAAAAAATAAAAAAATAATTCAAGGATAATAGAAATGGTTTTAAAAAGGAAGAGAACATTTTGTGCCAGAACTCCAAAGGAAATGAACGGAGTCAGGCTCCAGGTAACAAGTACCATCATGCTGTTTGTTGATCTCATACAGTTTTGCCTGTCAGCCCCGTTAGTTGAGTCTTCCTCTGTCTCATCTATCATTAATCTAATGCCATCCATCATCCTTTCATCTCCAAATCTCTGTGTTTAGACTAACAAAAGAGACATTACTAGAAAACTGAAAATTACACAATGCCACTGACTTTGGAGCAGCATCTGTTTTTTTTTTTCTTCTCTTATTTTGTAACCTTGTGTTTTTCTCCCCGTGCTGAGCTTATGAGTACACTGACATGATAAACCAGAGCAGACTTGCAACACACGGTATATTCCGTGCATTTCATACGGTCGATATGCAAAGCGTGTAAAGCACAGCCCCTTAGATGCAATTGACTATGTATGTGGGAAACATATGCCTGCTTCATTTGAAAAATCAGAGATCTCTCTAGTATCTGGGTCCCCTGATTCAGGCTCCTCTCATATTTCAAATGATTAATGATGGCTTAACAAAACAGGCCTTGGATAAATGCTAATAGGATGGGTCCTTAGAGAGGAGGATATGGAGAGCGGGGCCTGGGCGAATGGGAAAAGCGCCGTGCTTGACACACTGTGCATACACAACTACCTGACAGATGTTCAACACCAGAGATCATCCATCACTCCTACACTGTCTGGCCTCAAGTATTAATGCGATCACAGTTTAAGTCGATAGCAGTGGATGAAGCATTTGTGATTTGGGAAACCATCTAGCACTAAAAGGTTAAAATGTTATTATGTCTTGCTCTGCTTTATTGCTGTAAAAGCCCTATAGGGAATAAGCTGCTAAACATTGTTCAGGAGGCCAAAAGGTATGAGCCGGTGGCTAACGTGATAGCTGAAGAGCTCACATGGTTTTGAAAAAGGACACAAGGAGAGGGCCACCATCAAAAATAATAATAAAAAAAAAATACTAATTTTTATATTCTGCCAAAATTACTTCTGAACTAATAAAGTCATCGAGATTCCGATCTCAAGATCTTTTTGCAGGCCATAATCGGCTTCTGAGCAAATAATATAAGGATTAGACAGAAAGAAGAAAGTGGGAAGTAATATTCTTCAGAGTGAATATTTATCTCTATATAAATGCAGAACCATTTATTGCTGAATTAAAGTGATGTGTTCCTATTTTATATATCTATCCATCTATCTATCTATCTCTCTATCTATATATATATGATATATAAAATATAAAGTATACTACTGCGTGAATAAAAAATAAAAAAGAAGTGATCCATGCTCCAGTCTCTATGTGTCCATTTCAAGGACATCAGTCTAAGTACTTCAGCACTTAGGGAGCCACAGTGGGCCTATATTTCACAGCAGCCCCTCAGCTTTGTTATAGCCACGGCAATCACGGCATCCCTGCAGATTCATAACCGCCCCATACTCATCAGCGGCAGCCCGGTCCAGATGCGGATGGCCAAAATTAATCCTCCGTATTTTGATGGCCTTCATATCATTCATGATAGATGTGACCATTACAGCTGGTAGCAGAGTTCTCTGTGGCCTCGTCAGGACCACTCTAACCTCTGTGACACTTGAATGGGAACCATCAACGGCTTTCAGTCAGGGTCCCTGGGAACGCTAGAGCTGTGAGCTGTGCATTGATTAACCCTGACAAACAATGCTTTTAATGCACCAAACCTCTTATGATTGTACTTGTTTTTGTGATACTTTTAGCTCATCTGCCTCATTCCTGGATAATGATGGTATAAAATGTCAGTATACAAAATTTTTGATGGGAGCTGGGTCAAAGCGGCTTCTGAAAACAAGCTCCTAGAGTTTGTTTTATACTCTCTGAAGTGCTTTTTAGTTGTGGTTTAGTGCTGAAATTAATGCCGGTGTCAAGTAAGTCAAAGGGAATTGCACTGAACCGACACTCACAGTGTTGCCTTACGTGAACATAAAATAAAATGAAAACAGACCATTAAAAGTATTTGTGAAGAGAGTTTGATACACCATTCCTGCCTCTGAAACAATCTTGTGAGAAAATCACCATGAATAGAAAGATCTTGCCGAAGCAGTGAGTCATTTTAACCTCATCCATAAACTCAACCTTCTAGGCATTTCACTTTTCATTAAGCTACACCTTTTACACCTCACTGTGTCTAACCATTATACCCGTGACCTCGCTGATAAAGATCAACCTTTCCCTTTTCAAAGCTTTCCATCATTCCCACAACACACCTTAATGCGTCACACAGTATCTGCAGTATCTGCAGACTTAATCCGAGTGGCTTATAACACAGAGGGATGCAGAGGTCGTTTACCCATAGGTGTTCCCACGCCGTAGGCTCTGGAATCTATGAGGCCTCCAATCTGCGTGAGGTTGCAGTTGCGCTGGGTGACAAACTCAATGGTAGTGGACTCCATGAGGAAGGCATAATCTGAGGTAAGGACACGCTGGATGCCTTCCTCCACGTTCTTTACCATCACAGATTGCCTCCTGCTGTTCATAAACTCCCACATCTTGTCATAGGTAGAGATTTTTGTCTTCTGCAAGTAACCAGAGAGTGGGATCTGAATGAGAATCTAAGAAGTATTAGGAGAAAATATCATATCATCGTTTGCACAGTGTTTGGGACCTATTATGTTCATTTTCAGCTGCACATTTTTTCTTATTCCTAGACTATAATAGCTTTGCATGACTCACAGTTCAAAAATAAACCCTATTTATTTTCTTCTGAGGCTTTGAGGAGCTGCTAAGTTCTTACGGTCCTCCCCTTTTACGGCCACCTTCTGTTTAAGGTTTTTATTGGCTTCCCGTCACAAACAGAAGACTGCAAATTGATGAGGCTGCTGTGCTCGAAGCCGGGTGCCTGAAATGACCATCAAGGGTATCTCTTCTCTGAGACATTACGCATGTCCAAGATAAAAAAAAAAAACCCTGTCTGTAGCAAAGCATGAACCTTGAGCTTTTTAGCTGTTTGTGTACAATTTTGGCCATGTTACAATGATCATCCAACACTGTCACAGAAACTCAGGAAAAGCATCATAGGTCCATTTTAATGTCTGAAAAACGATATGATGAAATGATGATATTAATATTTCTATGATGAAAAGAACTCAAAGTTTAAATCCTGGTGATTTAGATGAGCCATAAATACGACTTTTCTTTTGTTATAAATCAAGCTCTGTTTTTTATAGCTTGTATTTGTCATTCTCACATTATATAAGTACCTTTTAGAGTGTTTTTTTTTTAATGGTGGAGGCTCTTCATGCTAAATTGAAATTGCCTAGCTTTGCACAAATGATTCACTGGAGGCAATTCATATAATCTGGTTTATGTTTAATTTATTGTTACCAGACACTTCCTAATGCTGCTGCATCAGGCGCTTTCAACCAGGGAATTACTGTATGTTTTTTTGCTGTGAAGCAGTCACATCTTTTTGATGAATGTTGCATTTATAATTTAAAACAGATATATGTACGAAATGGGCACAAGGACTGGGCCAACTACATGTTACCTACTACAATGGCTCAGCCTTGGAAACCCATGTCAAGAAGCTACCGGCACACAGTTTTTGTACTGATGTTATTGCCACAGGAGGTATGGAGCTCTGCCATTACTGAGTCAGCAGGGTGTTGGCAACTTTTAAGCACTATGCGTCTTAGCACTCTGCGAGCTGTAACTTTATGTGGTCTAACACTTTGTGGCTGAGTTGCTGTGGTTCCAGAGTGCTTCCACTTTGCAATAATGCCACTTACAGTTGAATGCTGAATGTCTAGGAGAAAAGAAATTTCACAAAGGCTACTAAAGGTGACATCCTATTACACTACCACAGTCGAATTCAGTGAGCTCTTAGAACGGACCATTCTTTCACAAATGTTTGCAACGACAAACTGTATGGCTAGGAAAGTAATTTTCCTGCATTTTTACCAGCAAATCAGTTATAAATGTGGCACTACTTCTTAGGAAGACAATAAACTCCACTGTTCTCTGCAGTTGCAACCCATGCATGATGTTTGCAGGTGCAATATTCAGTGGATTACTTTGACTACTTTAAAAAAAAAATGGCTGCACTTTCAACACCAGTTGCTCTTCTGCATTTTTCTGACAAATTAACTGCACATGGAGTGTTTGCTATTTGCACAGCAAACACAGGTGTTGGAAAATCAACCAGGAGAGAAATCTTAAAAGGATTATAAATTTGATGTGTGAGAAAATAACATTATTCACAGAGCCACTGCACAAACATCGTCGTAGATCCAGCTACCTTGAAGAATGTCATTGTGGCACCGTCCTCCACCACCCCATATGGGATTTTAGTTTGTTTGGCCAGGTCATCGGCTGAATCTATGGGCGATTCCATCCTCTCCACAGTGAGAAAAGCAGCCAAATTGGCTGTATAGGAGGAAATGATGATGAGGGTGAAGAACCACCAGATGCCTCCCACTATTCGAGTCGACAGGGCCTTAGGCATGAGCTCTGACCCTGGGGTGAAGGAGGCGGCAAGAATGAAAGTTAAACAGCAAGATGCATTCATTTCAACAAGTCATTATCATTCCAATCTTCTCATTACGTTTATTTTTAACATGCAAAAACCAGAGAGGACTAACGCCTTTAGAAACGGGCTTGTTTCGAGAACTCATCAAGTTCTCAGCGCAGGCAGATGTGCCACTCGCATCAAGATTAAATCACTCGAGAGAGCTCTCAAAACAAGCAGATTGTTGGATCTCAAACAAGTGAAATTATCTCGTCTCAGTCACAAGGGAGTGCTTTAAATAATGCAAGAGTTACCGGAAAGTGCCATTCAAAGAGAACAAGGTGTTTGCATAAATCTCATATATCAAATTAAACACATCAACATCGATGGTGCAGTACTGTGTGGAGAGGTAACAGGCTGGTTAGGCCAGAGAGTCATGTACCCAAGGTAACCTCACATCCTGACTCCACACCCCACTGATCTCTAGGTGCTGATAGGCCAGAGGCAAGAGAAGAGGACACTCGGATATTAGTGGCATTGCTACAGTAACAAACATAGCTTTACTTTTAAGCGAATGTTATTTTTAAGTCTTTTTCAGCTAATGAGCTCAACAACACTTCTGTTCGCAAACAGAATCGCTTTATGCATTTTATACAAGAATCACTCTCACTCTCATTAATTTAACTCAAGTGGACTAAAGGCTGTAAAACTGTTGTTTTTAGAAACATGTTCCTAGTTTACATATTCGGGTTTAGCCCATGCTCCCATGAGCCTAAGTCTGTTACATTTATTTTAAAATATATGCACATTTATTCTAATTTCTGTGTGGTCTTTTAGAGGTCTCTCTCTATTGCCTCTGGCTTAGTTAAAAAAAAACAAACCCAACCCTTAGGGACAGTGGGGTGTAGAGAGCTCCAGCTCCACAAAGCAACTGTAGCCACAGGCTGAGGCAACTACCTTGCTGCATGAGTGCCCCAACTCCAAACCAGAAACTATTGAGCAGCGTAAAATTGTTTTCCACTACATCTGAGTCAGGGTTGCATGGATGCGGGTTGTACCACTCATAAGGACTAAACCTATAAGGGAAAGAGCAGAAAGACACACATGTCAGCACAAAAGGACAGAACAGTGTTTTCAGTGGTACAGATTAAATGGCTGATAAGACATGAATCTGAAAACATTATCAGCAGGAAGAAGGAGTGTGAATGTGTAGAAAACCTGTTTTGTGGATCAGCGCTTCTGCGGAGACGAAAGCAAATCGTTTCAGCTTTTGCTGAGATTTTGCCGAGACTTATTGGCATATTCAAGTGGTATCAGTTTATTGTAAGAATGGATCAATAGACTGGAATAACACTGTCACTGGTGATAATGTCCCTGTGTGTAATGATCTTTGGAGCTCATTTCAATTCACTTAGTCAGGAGCCTTTAAGTGTTTCCCCCAGCAGCTACAATTATCGTTACTCTGCGGATACCATTTTATTTTAACACCCCAACGTGGGACTTGTGCTCTCCTTTTTTTCTTCTGGTTTCCCAACAGCAATCTCTGTTCTTCTCCTTTTCCCTTTTTCTCGCAATCCCCCACATCACATCCCCTCACATCCTCCTATACCATTCTCTTCCCAGCAACCCACGCTTCATTTTTTTTCCTCCAGATTGTTTTGCTTCCCCCATGAACCTCCTCCTGCTGAACACGCTGCCCGCCTTGGCTGATTGTCAGTGTCTTCGGGTCACTTGTGGACATTTCTCATTTATTATCCTAAGCAAAAGTGGCATGGCATTAGCACAAGGTGATTGGGTTAGTGTTAAGCATCAGGAACTGATTGAGTTTGTGCTGAAGTGGCTGATAGAGGGAACATTGCTTATGCAGAGTTGAGGGGCCTGACAGGTAATGGTGTTGAGAAGCCTTTCCCAGATATACTGCATGCTAATAAGCCTGTAGGCAGAGTCTTAAGGTTTTATACTGTGTGAACATGTGACGCCATTTGTCAGCTGTGCCTCTTAGACACAGAAAGGGAATAAATGTGTTTATATAGCATATATCGTATATGTGTCAGAACAGATTTGTATAGATTTAAAGTGACCATATGCTCTCAGGGGACCCAAACTGTGCCAAAAAAATATCCCACTGTAACAGCCAAAGACTTTGGTTTTCCTACAATTTGCTTTCCGTCTGTACATATGAGTGCCATTTGGAGCACGCTAATTACTGTTCTTATTTTACAAGCACTGGGAACATGGCAACATTTTTGTCACAATGCCCTTCCTTTACAGTTATTTTCCGTTCAGTGAAAATCATCTGTGTGGACATGGCTGTGATGGCACGCTATAATTCTTCATGTCAACACCATCAGGATGCCTGATTTATTGGAATGTCAACGAGCTCTGTCTCCTTGGTATCACAGGCAACTGAAACAACACAATGGCCTTGCAGAGCTGTTCAGAATGCAGTGAGCGCGCTCGCATGTTTTTATGTGGTCGCATGCACTTATGCCTGCGTGCATCAAGCGTCTGGCGCATAAATATGCCTTTACATCTGTGTGGGTGAGTTTTTCATGTGGTAGCAACTGGGTATTTGCATTGGCTGCACCGATTGCATCTCAAAGTCAAACGTGTTTTCTGATTATTTCGTTATGTTTTTGTACACAGACAATGCACGTAATTGCTGTAGCCCGCAGCCGATCGTAGAACACAACAGATGTATGTAGGTTGCTGGTGCAGATTTGATTGGACAGTGTTTGTTTCTCCCAGTGTCTACATGTGTATTCTGTATGTACCAGGTTTGATGGCTCCTCTGTATGACCTTTGTCTGCAGCTGGCCCGTATTCCTGCAGGCCGTGTTCTGCACACCGATCAGCAGGAGGAAGAGGATGTGGAACACGAGGACGTAAGGTCACCTCCTCACATCCAGCACAGGGGACATGTCAAATTGCACACGGAATTCTAAAAAGACGCTTTCCCTCTCTCTCCCTCTCCGTTCCCCTACTCCTGTCCCTCTTCCCCTTCGCTTGTCCCTGGCCACAATAACACAAAACGCACGCCCTCCATTAGCTGTCTGTTCAATTCAATTACTTTGCCCGGCTTTATAGATCTGTTGCCTTTCTTGTCTCAGGCCAAGTGAAGAGGTTGTGTTTGGTGTCTTAAAAAAATCACAGACATCTGGAAGTTGGAATGTAAAATTACAAGAGCCTGCAATTCATGTAAACACGGTCTAATACAATTTATATAATCTATTCTTGTTTGCAAGTGGACATTTTCTACCATGAAAAAGGGTTTTGCGAGCTGAAATAATACAATTTATTTTGTTAATAAAGGGAGAAATCAATTCAACCGCAAACAGAGCTGGGAGGATGCACTGAGTGATATGTATTTCTCTGGAGCCTGAAATCCGATAGCTTATTTAGGAAAAAGAAAAAAGTGTGTTAACGTGTGGGATGCAGTTCAACGATGTACTGTTTAGTGTTTTATTGTGCAAACTTGGACTTCATAAGCTCACAACTCCTGCTATATTTGAGAAAGAAAATAATATACTCTGCATTTGGAGGATCGGCCAATCATCCGGTGGCCGCGCAATCAATACTGTAATTATGAGGGAACCAGATCAGCAAGCTGTAGAGAACACCGTGCTTAAGATTTAAACTTTGCTGGATATTTTTGTCACATAGAGTGACGCAAAGGACTCTGTATTGCTATTGTGTGCAAAAATGGCATGATGCAGATATACGCATTATAATTTCATAGAAGCAAAATTAGAAATATCAGATCTCAAGGTCATTTTTATCGCAACCAGAATAATATCAATAGGATTGCATGCTTTTTACTTACCATGAATAAATGTGGGAGCAAATAACTATGGGTTTAATTTGCATATTCTGAACTAACTTAGGTGACAGTTGCTGCTTTCCTCTCATGTGATCATTTTGCCAGTAACATTTGATGAAATGTGTGTTAAACCAAAACCTCTCAGGATCAAAGAAGAAGAAGAAAAGCCCACACACACATCATAATGCGTTGGTCATGCATCTGGGTTTTTTTTTTTCTTCGGGGGATAGGTCGATTAAAATATTGTAGGAAATGTATTTGTACAGTATCAGCAGTGTACCTTAGATTACTGCACATTTCTTACAATAAATATCAGTTTGCTGGTTTTACAGTTGCTGATGCTTGTGCAAATATGCCTGAAATATTGCTCTATACTTATCAGGACCATAGTAGGATGTGGACCATGTTTAAATCCATTATTGCAATTATATTTTGGTAAAATGTGAACTTTTCCAAAACATTCGAATGTTGGCAAAAATGCTGCCATGGTCCTTTCTTATATGTTTACTGCAGATTTCATATCCTTTTGTTTCAGCACACATCTTCATATCACAGAAGTCATCAACTGCTGCATGTTAGTCAAAGGAGGCAAGCAGGAGGGGGAGAGTGAAGTCAAGCAACGGAAGCAAACAGGGGGGTTGACATGTTACCTGGCTATGACAAACAGCACACAACTGACACCCAAGCAAGCCAGCAGAATATACATCCAGATATCAGGCGAGAGGGGGTTGAGGAAGGAGAAGACCCCAGGATTGGTGCCGTTGGGCTTGCGGTACAGGATACTTATCCCCAGCGTCATGAAGGGCTTGGAGAAGTCGATGACCTTCTCTCTGACGTAAGTGATGGCCAGAGGAGCAACTGCAAGGTCTGCTTTCTGCAATGAGAAAACAGCGGCGACGTCAAATAGGGGGATGGGTGTTTGTTCACCAGTAGAAAAAAAAAATCCCAGCCAATTCAATTAAGATCTGATTTCTGTCAGCAGCTGCTCTGCTCAATATGTACAGGAGGCAGAGACATGACATGAGGGAAAAAAACGTAGCTAGGATCATTACTTCGACTAGATTATTAGGTGGGAGGCTGAGTTGGTCTGGAAATTACAGGTTATATGTCTGATCCTTTTTTATAAGGGGCAACAATCTTAGGATTAGATTAATTTTCAACAATTCAACCTCAAGTTGCCTCAGAATAGAAAATTAGCCTTCTGCACAGTTCAGCACTTGCTCTGTAGTATTTTTGCATAATTGCTCCAAGCCGTAACTTGATGTAAAAAAAAAAAAAAAAAAAAAAAAATATATATATATATATATATTTTATTTTTACAGTTTCTAGATTTTTTGAAGATTCTGTTTCAAGCAGCCAAAGTCGCTTTTGCAAACTAGCAAGCGACCAATCTCAGCAGGGGGAAAGATTTCAGGGCTTTTTGCTATAATTTTTCCTCATAAGAAGTCATCTATATATCTGAGGCTTAGAAAAGCTTCCTATACAGCACCAAATGTCATAATTGTCAGATAGCTTTCTATGGTAATACACAGTGTGGAAGCAGAACTGTAATAAATAATACAAACGGTCACAATAAATAAATAAACCGTAATAAACAATGAAAATCAAGCAAGTCAATTAAACCCCAACAACTGCTAAATTGCTTCTCTGTAAACACAGATATATTTGCATATGAGGACAAAGAATCTACAAGTGAGAGACACAATTTTTGGCGCTAAAAGGCTTCTGGTTTCCATTTGTAGTTCATTTGTAGTTCGATTAGCGCTGACCAATCACAGCTTTGGCTGTAGCCAGCCTGCTTTGGCTGCATGAAGGCAAACAAAAGGACTTGCCTGATAAAATGTTAAACTCACTGGTGATAATGACATAGTCTATTGCTGGATTTTAAAAATGCATTAAAATGCACATTCCCTGGTATCAGTTATCCCTTTTCCTAATTATTGCAGGCTGCAGTGGAAGCCGGCAAACATTGATCACTGGACCCAGAAGTTTATTCATCAAACAATAGCAGTTAACTTGTGAATATGACCTAAGGGTAGCCACTGTAGGCTACTGGTCATATCAGGCCAAGTAAAACTTTATCTTTTTATACTCCCACTGTCTAGCCTACACAAAGAGCAGACAGCATTGGAAGCATACTTGTGTGCTGGTGCGTCTTCGCTTCTCTGACATTTCTTTTTACTGTGCTGAGCTACTTTGTGTGCTTAAACAGCTCTAAGTATGTTTAACTTAGAGCTAATAAATATTGATAGTTACTGAAAGGGAGGAAGGAAAGAAGATATACGAACTGAGTCTATAAAAGGATTGGCAGCACTCCGAAAACGAGAAAACGGCACATAGCTACATTGGCAGGTTACTTGCTTTTACAGCCTATTACATTTTGTTTCACAGAGCCTTTATCTGATCAATATCCTGTCTTTCCACTAAGCAGACCAAGCACGGTTGTCGAGGTCTGTGTCGACGCAACACGTAGTTGCATATCTGAGGAGAAGCATTTTAAGCTGTGCTGTAGCTTTGATGCAAAAGTATAAATCAATCTTGAGGCTGTAGCACCAGCAAAACCCAGGAGTTAACCTTTTTTTTACCCTTATATTTGAAACTGAAAGACTACATAATTTGGTTTCTCAAAGTTTCAGATGCCACAAAGAAACTCGACACAGTAAGAGGTCCTTTTTTGTTAACACTGTAATCTCATATTAAAGACATTTGCTTGTTCAGTAGCAATATTTCAGCCTGTTTCCATTTCAGTTCGGTATTGAAGAATTTCAAAGATTTATTCATTCAGACAAAGAAGGACAAGAAGGAATATGGCAGACTGCTCTGCCTAAGTGGAAAATAAATTTTGGCTTTTAGAAATAAAATATTCCGACTGTACCAGCAGATGAAGACACAAATGACTTAATAATGAGAAGATTTAAAAAAAAAAAAAAAAGTCCCATTTGAGCATTTAGAGATGCAATTCTTATTGTTTTGAATCAGCTTGCAATGTAGAGTAGCTTTATTAAAATACATGAAGAAAAAATAGTGGACCATTATAAAATATGATTAATAGAAAGCAGAAAGTGTTTCGCTTTAATTATTATAATAGTTTTTTATTCTAATGACTGAGTGTTGTCTTCTCCCTGGTGAGTGCCGACTCACGTGGTCCATGAGCTCCCGCACCATGCCGTTCCACTGGCCTGTGCTCTCATCCAGCGCACCGTACTTCCCATCTTCAACTAATCGAACCTCATAGCGGAAGCCTAGGATGGAGGAGAGTTCCCTCAGCAGGTCGATACAGTAGCCCTCAAAGCGATCGTTCCCATATAGAGGCTTGTCTGACTTCTTAAACATCACATATGGCTCCTCCTGTACAGGGAAAACAAACTGCTGTAGGAGTGCAGAAGTCTGTGATTTTTGTATTATATATTTTTCAGGTGCAATTGAGACTGTGAATGTCTGCTGTTAGTGTTTTCATTCGGCCGTGTCTACCAGTATGGTGGATACACGCAGGGATTTGTTAGCCAGAGAATCAGTGATGTTGGACGTCTTGCTTTTGTGAGTCTCTGTCATATTTAAACCGCTGGGAGGATCCCATGTTCCAATCTGTTGAAACAATTCAGAGTCAAGTTTATATCCTCTTGTCTACAGATGGGAAATGAAACACTTCAAATCACCCCCACTTACATTTGATACTTAAGGTCATACTAAAAAGAAAGTACACCCTCTTTCAGTTCTAACTTTAAAAAAAAAAAAAAATATATATATATATACAGGGAGTGCAGAATTATTAGGCAAATGAGTATTTTGTCCACATCATCCTCTTCATGCATGTTGTCTTACTCCAAGCTGTATAGGCTCGAAAACCTACTACCAATTAAGCATATTAGGTGATGTGCATCTCTGTAATGAGAAGGGGTGTGGTCTAATGACATCAACACGCTATATCAGGTGTGCATAATTATTAGGCAATGTCCTTTCCTTTGGCAAAATGGGTCAAAAGAAGGACTTGACAGGCTCAGAAAAGTCAAAAATAGTGAGATATCTTGCAGAGGGATGCAGCAGTCTCAAAATTGCAAAGCTTCTGAAGCGTGATCATCGAACAATCAAGCGTTTCATTCAAAATAGTCAACAGGGTCACAAGAAGCGTGTGGAAAAACCAAGGCGCAAAATAACTGCCCATGAACTGAGAAAAGTCAAGCGTGCAGCCGCCAAGATGCCACTTGCCACCAGTTTGGCCATATTTCAGAGCTGCAACATCACTGGAGTGCCCAAGAGCACAAGGTGTGCAATACTCAGAGACATGGCCAAGGTAAGAAAGGCTGAAAGACGACCACCACTGAACAAGACGCACAAGCTGAAACGTCAAGACTGGGCCAAGAAATATCTCAAGACTGGTTTTTCTAAGGTTTTATGGACTGATGAAATGAGAGTGAGTCTTGATGGGCCAGATGGATGGGCCCGTGGCTGGATTGGTAAAGGGCAGAGAGCTCCAGTCCGACTCAGACGCCAGCAAGGTGGAGGTGGAGTACTGGTTTGGGCTGGTATCATCAAAGATGAGCTTGTGGGGCCTTTTCGGGTTGAGGATGGAGTCAAGCTCAACTCCCAGTCCTACTGCCAGTTTCTGGAAGACACCTTCTTCAAGCAGTGGTACAGGAAGAAGTCTGCATCCTTCAAGAAAAACATGATTTTCATGCAGGACAATGCTCCATCACACGCGTCCAAGTACTCCACAGCGTGGCTGGCAAGAAAGGGTATAAAAGAAGAAAAACTAATGACATGGCCTCCTTGTTCACCTGATCTGAACCCCATTGAGAACCTGTGGTCCATCATCAAATGTGAGATTTACAAGGAGGGAAAACAGTACACCTCTCTGAACAGTGTCTGGGAGGCTGTGGTTGCTGCTGCACGCAATGTTGATGGTGAACAGATCAAGACACTGACAGAATCCATGGATGGCAGGCTTTTGAGTGTCCTTGCAAAGAAAGGTGGCTATATTGGTCGCTGATTTGTTTTTGTTTTGTTTTTGAATGTCAGAAATGTATATTTGTGAATGTGGAGATGTTATATTGGTTTCACTGGTAAAAATAAATAATTGAAATGGGTATATATTTGTTTTTTGTTAAGTTGCCTAATAATTATGCACAGTAATAGTCACCTGCACACACAGATATCCCCCTAAAATAGCTAAAACTAAAAACAAACTAAAAACTACTTCCAAAAACATTCAGCTTTGATATTAATGAGTTTTTTGGGTTCATTGAGAACATGGTTGTTGTTCAATAATAAAATTATTCCTCAAAAATACAAGTTGCCTAATAATTCTGCACTCCCTGTATATAAAAAGGACCGAGCTATTGCAAAACCTCAGTTCTTCTCTTTTTTAGCCACTCTGGTGTAGATCTGCAGCTGTGCTTGGGATATTGGCCTGTTGGATGACCCAATTTCAACCAAGCTTTAGCTGTTGGACAGATGGCCTCACATTTGACTCTAGAATAATTTGATACACAAGGGAACTCATGGTCGACTAAGTGACTGCAAAGTGCCCAGGTCCCGTGGCTGCAAAACAAGCCCAAATCATCACCCCTCCGCTACTGGACTCGACAGCTGGTGTGAGGTGTTTGTGCTGATATGCTGTGTTTGGTTTTCAACAAACATGGAGATCTACATTATGGCCAGACATCTCCACTTTTATCTTATCCGTCCGAAGGACATCGCTCCAAAAACCTTGCAGTTTGTTCAGATGCAACTTTGTAAACCTAAGCTGTGCTGCCATGTTAATTTTAGAAAGAGGAGACTTTCCCCTGAAATCCCTTTAAACCAAGCCATTTAGTCCGTTTAGTCTTTCTCTAATTGTAACATCACGAACTTTAGGATTTAACATGATAACTGTGGTGTGTAGAGTCTGAGATGTAGCTCTTGGGTTTTTTTATTTTCTCTGAGCATTGCATGGCGCGATCTCTCTGTGTGGATTTGTTGGAACGTTCACTCCTGGGAAGACTGGCAACTGTTTTGAATGTTTTCCACTTGCAAATAATCTCTCTCATTCAAGAATGATAGACTCCAAATCGTTTGGAAATGGCCCAGATTGATGGGCAGCACCAACTGCTTCGTTAGGATTATTCCTAATGTCTTTTCTTCACGGCGAAAGCTCCAGAACAGCAAACAGCCAAAACTTCTTCTTTTATAGAGGTGCTCACACTTACTGATGATCAATCAATCAAGTCCATTTGATTATCAGCACTTGGCTGCTCCTTACCCTTTTAATCCCTGTGGAAGCAGTAACAATGTACTTAGTTTTTCACACACCACCTTTGCATTTTGGCTTAATTTTAAAAATAAATAATGACACTGTGTAATATTTAATGTTTTGTAGATCATCTGATGTTGTATCATTTTAAGACTTTTAAGTTATTTTTTTGTAACGCGATTCCTTAGAATCGAAAGAGGGCTTACTTAATTTTTGCCATGACTGCAAGCATGAGCTACACCAACGAGTGACACACCTTTTCCAGCCCCTCCTCCTTCAGACTGATGACATCTAGGTCAAAATCAGTTCTCAGTCCATTGGTCTTGTTAAAAAGGACACGTCCTGTCAAACCATCCCAGTGTGCCTAAAGATAGAAATACACAGCACGATGAACTAAAATCCTCAGCTCTGAACGCAGTCATTCCATTAACCTTAAGACATTGCCTTTCTCAGCAATATCAATCCAACCCCTAACCATAAAAGTTTTTCTTTCCCAATTATGAATTCCATCTGGCTCTCCCCTTACTGTCTATCTCAACAACATAACAAGAAACAATAAAGCAGCGAGAACAGAAGCAGGTTTGACAGGTAAGAGTTCATTATGCATGTGGTTCATTGTGCTTGAAGTTTCACTTCAAAGCCATTGGAGGAACAGACGGGCATGGGGAGTGATAGCAGACACAGGAGGGGGAGGAAGCACCAGCTACTACAATGGCTCATTCTGAAAATTACCTGCAATGATACCATCCAGAGAATGAAAGAGCTTTGTAGAACAAAGCAAATGGCTGACCCTGACTAGAGTTAAGGAGGCATGCAGAGCCTTTGATATAAACACGGGTGGAGATATGCACTGAGAAAGTGTGGTTGAAAGACAATGGCACAAACAACAAAAAATGTAGTTACTGTGGATAATGCTGCGGATTCATTTTTTTTATAAAGATTATTTAGAATTAATGATTAGATAATAAACTTATTTAAGATGCTTATATGGTTTCTGTGATAAATGACCACAGCTTTCTGGACCAATAAAGGCTGATTGGAAAGCTGCACTGAAACTGTATCACATGTGTTAACTAAATAATTCCAGAGATGCACACATAAAATGCTTGCAAACATGACTGCGCTAATCCATATAACACAATAAGAAAGGTACAATGTTCAGTAGATCCCACAGGTCAAAGGTCAAGATGGAGTGCACACTGAAAACAGTGACCTTATACCTCTTTGATAAGGTTGATGAAACGCCCTCCAAAGCGCCACGGCTTGTGGCGATTACACTGCAGAGAGCTCACAGTGATCTGCTGCGACTGCTGCACTGCCACCGCCACCACATGCACGGCATCATACATCAGGGCTGCATCGGTCTGCAAACAGGAGGGTAATACTATTAGACATTTTATAAGACCACTTGATACTTCTGTCCACACAACCTTTCATCTCCCCATTAATTCACCTGTGCAGGGACATAAGAAACTGTGTGAAGTCTCAGATGACTTGCTTTAGTCATAAGTCACTACAACATGAATTAAGAGTAGAGCCAGCAGTAAATGCCCCACACAAATGGCACAGTGTCTCAGCTTGTTAGTAAAAATATCCAACCACTGTCTGAGGCAATCAGAAAGTTCTGCCAGGGAAAGTCTCTCAGTGGAAGGGCGCCACGTCAGTGTGAAGACTAATGGTTGCTGATGGGTGTGCCTGTTCCCCCAGAGAGAGGGAGCGCAAAACGGGCACCGGTGCAGACAGGACGACTCTCTCTCTGGCACACTCAGTGTAACATGCTAAGTACAAAGGACAAAGGGTTGCACTGAAAAACACCTAAGACAGCTATGCATATAACCCTCATAATAAGTCATCAAAGGGCGTAAACGCTGGAGCTGAAATTTCTCACACACTGACAAGCTGTGATTTATCTCCACCGCTCCAGTTGGCACACATGAATTCTTTTCATGCCGTCAGTCCACACAGTTTGACACACTCCACGCTCAGCTCATCGCAGATCCACTTTCCACGGTCCCACACAGGCTGAAATACACTATGGTGATCTTATTTGACAAGTCGTGGATGACCAAACTGCAAGGAAGTGAGAGGAGTTACTCTGAGACCGCAAAGTATTTGCAGCTATAGAATCTTTGTGAATGTGCTTGCTGCCAGAGAAAATGAGCTGGCCTTCAGTGCAGCTCGACACGTAGCAGGAGGCTGCCGAGCTGCTGGTTCCCTATATTTGCTCTATAGGTGCTGTGAAGCATCCACTTCATACATGAGGGCAAGAAGCAGGAGAAAGCGTGTGCTCTCTGTGCACTTTATACCAAGCCTTATAAATGGTGAGAGGTCAGGTAAAGGAATGCATCTTACTTCTAACAGCAAAGAAAAAAAAAAGAGAGAGAGAGTTTCCTGGTAGCAGAAACGGAATGAAAAATAGACAGAGTTGATGGAGTTCATGTGTGGTTGCAGTGAAGGGAAGATTGATGATTTTTTTCTTTCCCCCCTTTTCTCCTCTTCTTTTGGAGTTGATGACTGCTGATGTCAAAGGCAGCAGTAGATCAGAGAATGGGAGACCTATCTCTGCGCTCTTTCATCCCCAATGCTTTCCTGGAAAAGGGAACAGCTAGGGCCATATCTGCTCTCCCAGTGGCAGCAGTGTGCGTGTGTGCGTGTGTGTGTGTGTGTGTGTGTGTGTGTGTGTGTGGTGTTCGTGACAAATACTCACTAGGAAAAGACTCTGTCACTGCACTACTCTATTTCTTGAATAGCGAGGAGGAGTTTTAAACACAGTCAGTACTATTTTCTTTCCTTTGAACGGAAAGTTTGTCACGTCCAATCATTCGTTTGCTGGCCGACTAAGACTTGCTGTTGGACTGAATCAAGTTATTTTAGCAATTTATGTAAAAAAAAAAAAAAAGAAGTTATATAAGTATTATTCACATTCAATCCCCGTCCACTGCACTGAATTTCAAAAGTATGTAACACATTCTGAATGCATTTATTCCATGGATAATATTCTTTGATTGATTTTAGTTTGGCTGTGGCATTGCAGAATTTATGAAATTCAAATTAAATCTCCGAGCCTGCTATTTCTTTTTTAAATACCTTTTCATTTAAATTTTGCCACTGACCTTTTAACTTTCCTCTAAACTACTTGATTTTTTCCCCCATTCCAAAATCAGTCAATATCACATTCCAACTCCTCCATTAACAAACTCTTTATTCTTTTGGGTCAAACTGCGGTGCGCACTGTCTTTTCAGTTAATCGTCTTGGCTACAAAGATGTTCTGTGAAATGTTTTCGAAAATCTATCAAAATTCTCTACTTGTAAGTCTATTTTTAGTTCACTTTTCATAGCTTTGCATGTGAAGTGAAATTGGAGTGCTTAAGCACAAGCTTGATGTGTGACAGGAGAGTGATGATTCATTTTTAGAAAAGCTTAACAGATGAACTTGTGCCTTTACCTTCAAGAAATGCCAGATTTTGAGCTGTTTGTTTATTCCTAAGCTATTTGTAGCATAAAGAGGAAGACTTTTCTATTAGAGCTTGGTAATAATGTGGTAATATTGAATTAAGGACACAAGAAGGTACTATATGGAAACAGAATGTTATAACACTAAATTATGAAGTAATATCTAAATAATTACCAAATGACATCTTGACTCAACAATGGTTATAGCTAAGTAACATTGGACTATATTTAACTGTGCAATAAGGGCCAGAAAGTAGGCTTAATAATGATCAATAAAATTCAATTTAATTAAATTTTATTTAAATAGCACCAAATCACAACAGCAATTACCTCAAGGTGCTTTATATTGTAAGGCAAAGATCCCACAATTATACAAAGAACATTTCAACAATTAAACTTTGCGGAAGCACTTGATGACAATAGGAAGAAAAAAAAAAGGCTCATTTAACAGGAAGAAACCTCTGGCAGAAGCAGCCATCTGCCATGACCGGTTGGGGGTGACGGAAGGAAGGAAAACAGGCCTGGAAGAGAGCCAGAGATTAATAGTAACTAATGATTAAATGCAGAGTGGTGTGTAAGCACACAGTGATTACAAAAGGTGAGTGAAGAAGAAACACTCAATGCATCATGGGAAGGCCCTCAGCAGCCTAGACCTATCGCAGCACATCAGGTTACGACCACTTGAAAGTCAGTATATTTAAAAACAAGCCAACAAACAAACAAACAAACAAACACGCAAGAAAACCCCCAGCTAGACATATATAACCACAATAGCCACTGTCGATACAAGCTATTACAGTACTTGGTTATTAGTACTTTGTAACTAAGTGGTAATAACACATTATTTCATTATTATTACCTTCTGTCCATCTGATTACCAAGCTGTCTTAGAAAGCGCTACCCATAAAGATTTTATTCTCGTCCAAATTATTTATTTCCTTTTAAAAAAATATGGAGAGTTTCTTAAGCACAAATACATAAATATGCACTGGAGACAAGCAGGGTATCTTCCTCAGTGGCAAATATTTTCTAAGCTTTGAAATATGAAAGGTTTTAAACCTGCATAAACAGTAAAAGACTCTTTGCTGACTTACGGGGCAGCTGAAATGAGCTGTGAAATTGTGCCCCATTTCCAGTTGATATCATAAACCTTTAGTAAACAGTTGCATTTTATACCTCCTGCTGATACAGAGCAGCAGTGTCAGTCAATGCTGCGACGAGGGGGGTGAGACTGAACCAAAAGAGTACAGTTGCTCTGTTTTGCTGTTTTACTGAGCTGAAACTCTCTATAAAGCTCCGCACAGCCGAGTGGAGTCGCACATTCACATGATAATTACTATGACTGACCTCTGAATTTACATAGGGCTTTTGATTGTTATTTGTGATGTTATTATGTCTGCTTTACAAGTAAATGTGATAATAGAGTGGCAAGGAAGACATGCTACGGTGAAATCCATGTAGTATGAGTACAATTGACAAACAGCAGCTAGGATAGTAGAATAAATGCCAGACTACTTTATGATGAGCTGTCTGTACACATCCATGGCAAAATTAGATTAAAAAAAAAAACATTATCGGCAACAGGTATTTATTTGTGGTCACAGAAGACAGGTTTGTCTACATGAGGTATTGTTTAAGTAACAATGGGATATTTCATGTATTATAGTATAAACACAGTTCTGCATACTGCTGTGTTTGCACTTTTGACTTCTCCATCCACCCCTTTATTTGAACCACTTTATTAGGTAGATTTTTTCTAGTACCAGTTGGATCCCCTTTGCTTTCAGAACTCCCTTAATTCTTTGTGGCAACAGAATGCTTGAAACAGTCAGTGCCATGATAGCATCACACAGTTGCTGCAGATTTGTCCCCTGCACACCCGTGTCGTGAATCTTTTGTTCTTCTTCCCTGTTGGATTTAGGTCTGGTGACTGTGGAGGCTATTTGAGTACAGTGAAGTCATTGTCATGTTCGAGAAACCAGTTTGAGATGATTAGAGTTTTGTGCCATGGTACATTATCCTGCTGCAGGCAGCCATCAACATATAGATACACTGTGGTTATAAAGGGGTGGACACAGTAAGCAACAACACTCATGTAGGCTGTGGTGTTTAAACAGTGCTCAATTGGCCTGAGCCAAGGAAATATTCAACATACTATTACACCACCTCCAGCAGCCTGAAGTGTTGATTCAAGATGGATTGATGCTTTCATGTTGTTTAGACCAAATTCTGACGCTACTATCCGAATGCTGTAGCAGAAACTGAGACCAGGCAACATTTCTTTTCCCATGTTATCTAGTTTTGGTCTGTGTGAAGCCTTAGTTTAAAGCTCCTAAATGCCCAGAGTGACACCTAAGTGTGATCTTCTGCTGCTGTAGCCCATTAATGCTTCAGTGCTTCAACTCTTCTGCATACCTTGGTTGTAATGAGTGGTTATTTAAGTTGCTGTTGCTTTCAAGCAGTGAGAACTGCTGCTTCCAGGATATCTTCTATTTTTTAGACCATTCTCTGTTAACCCCGGAGATAGTTGTGTGGGAAAAAAATCCACTAGATCAGTAGTTCTGCAGATACTCAGATAAGCCCATCTGGCACCATCAACTATGCCATGTTCAAAGTCACTTTAATCGCCCCCTCCTCTTTTTTATTTTAGCTTGGACTTTAACAGGTCATCTTGACCATGTCTACAATCCTCAGTGTATTTAGTTGCTGCCAGATGATTGGCTAATTAGGTATTTGCACTAATGAGCAGTTGAATAGGTGTACCTAATGAATGGGTAGCATTCTTAAAATCATTTGTGGAGATATTTCCCACATCTCTTAACTTTTGATCTCTGTGATATATCAGATATTTTCTGGCTCAAATGATTTATAAGTCAAAGATCTTTTTCTGACTCTGAAACAGAACTATTC